CCCCAAAACCCCAAAACCCCAAAACCCCTTGAGTGCAGATTATTGAAAATTCGTTGAAATAAAAAATTAAATTAAAACAAGAGTTTAATAATTCTACTGAGAGAGCTAATTTGAACTTAAATTTTCACACAAACATCCTAATAATGACTGAGGTCTTTCCTCTGTTTATAATAATATTTTGCAAACTAACAAAAAAACCCAATGGAACTACAATTAGCTAAACGACCCTCCCCATCAACTTTAGTAATGGGCAAGAAAGTGAAACTTTTGACTAACTATTACAGATTTAACTTTACAAATCCCAAAAAGAACTAGATATTCAAGTACACCGTTAAGTTTACTCCAGAGATTCCAGATAATTCAAGGAAAATCAGAAACAAGGTGGTCAATGCCATCAGAAGTCAGCTCTAGGAATATCTAGGTTTCTTCATTTTTATGGGAAATTGCTTGTATTCATTAGAAAATTCACCAGAGATTCCTAAGCATAAAAGTGAGTATGATGGAATCAGCTATGAACTCGAAATCAACTGGGTTTAGTACATTGGGGAGATGGACTCAGACAGACTGATCTTCTACAAAATATTCTTCAACTCACTTTTAAAAAAGATCAAGTACAAACAGATTGGAAGAAATTTCTTCAACCCAAATCAATCAGTTTCACTAAACTAGTACAACTTGGAAGTGTGGCCAGGCTTTGCTTCGAGTCTTCATATGCTTCAAAACGGTGTGATGCTTAACGTTGATATTTGTCATAAAGTTATTAGAACTGAGACTGTACTTAAACTTATCGAGGATATCAAGAAGAATTGCAGAGGAGATCTTAGAGAGGAAATAAAGAAAACTTTGATTGGAACAACTGTAATGACTATCTATAACAAAAGAACCTATAAAGTAGATGACATTGAGTTCAATAAAAGTTTATATGATACCTTCCAGCAAGAGGATGGTACTGAAATTACCTACCAAGACTATTTCAGGAAAAAATATAGCAAAAACATTTCAGATCCAAACTAGCCAGTTATTGTAAATGTCAATCAGAAAACTGGAAATTAAATAATTCTTATCCCAGAGCTTTGCTAAATGACTGGTCTTTCTGATTCACTCAGAGCTAATTTCAACATTATGAAGGAAATGTCTTCAATCACCAACTCTGATGCTACTAAGAGAGTTGAGGAGTGCAAGAATCTGCTGGAGATGTTTAAACGAAATGAAAGGTGCAGGCAGGAGATGGAAAACTGGCAAGTTGAAATCTCTCACAGTCCTGTTGAGATTTCTGGCTAAAAAATCAATGCAGGAAATTTGGTAATGGGCAAGAATGATTCAGGAGTCAGAATAGAATTTGACCTGGAAACTACTCATGATATCGATAGAAAAATTCAATCTACTATGTATTCTTAGCCAGAAATAAAGAAGTGGGGAATTTTCTATTCTGATTTCGACAGGAAAACTGCTATTCAGTTCCTCGAAACACTCGAAAAATGTAGTCAGCAATTCAAATACAAAATTCTTAAACCAAGAGAATTTCAAATGAAGGGAACCAGATTCTAAGATTGGGAGTAAGCAATTAGAGAAAATTTGGATGGTTCAGTTCAAGCAATTGTGTTGATCTTACCAGGATAAAAGGGAAAAGCACCGCTTTACGATGACTTGAAAAAGCTCTTACTGAAGGAAGTGCCAGTTCCATCCTAAGTTGTCTTATCAAATACTATCTCAAGAGGAAAAAATGTCAGATCAATCTGTAATAAGATCCTTATTCAAATCTGCGCAAAGATTGGTGGAGAACCTTGGGCTGTAAATGACATGCCATTCTTTGACAAGCCAACAATGATATGCGGTATGGACGTCTATCACAAAACAGGAACTGGTTCTAAGTCAATTTTAGCTTTTACAGCTAGTATCAATTAGAGGGCCACTAAATATTGGTCTTGCGCCAAGGTATAAGATGAAGGTTAAGAGATTTCTAACACTCTAGAATCTGTTATGCATGAGGCTTTGTCAGAGTTCTAGAAAAAGAATGGAGTAGCACCCCAAAACCTCATCATTTACAGAGATGGTGTGGGTGATTCTTAAAGAAGCATAGTCATCAATTTTGAGCTACCTCAAATTTAACAAGCAATAAAAAGACATAACCTGGAGGAAACCACTAAAGTTATGATCATACTAGTTAATAAGAGAATTAATCAGAGACTTTTCAACACAGATCATCCTCAAAAGATCTGCAATCCTCAGCCAGGAACTATAGTTGATTCAGGAATTGTTTAGAAGGACAGCTACGATTTCTTCTTGGTTTCTTAGGTAGCCAGAGTGGGAGTTGTGAGTCCAACTCACTATGTTGTGGTGTATGATAGCATAAAAGAAGACGCACAGTAGATTCAACTTTTGACTTACAAACTGTGCTACACTTATTACAATGTTTCAGGATCAATCAAAGTGCCAGCTCCAGTGCAATATGCTCACAGATTATCAAACCTGATTGGAGATAGAGTAAAAGGCCACTTCGGTGTGCCTATACCTCATGAGCACTTTGGCAAAAACATTCAAGGTCTTTACTTCATTTGAACTGAAGAAGACGAGCACAGATTATATAAGGTGGTCACAGCTGAAGCAATTAAGCGAGTGATTTCTGTTAATTTCTTTATTCTGTACTTATTTCTTAACAATCAATCTCAAACACTATTTAAATCATATAATATGTAATTTAATGTCTGCTGTGGCCTGATTATTAACTTATTGTCTTACTCTTGAATTCCATAATTATTGGATCATGGGGTTTTGGGGTTTTGGGG